TCAAATTAGGCTTAATGATCAAATTATCTTTAATGACCCTAAGATTAATAACTCCCTATGAATGAACGTAAGTTCAGTATGAGTAAATAACTTATACAAGCTACTCATATAGAGATATGATTTTGGGAAGGAAACAGGCACACACTGTGGCACAGGCAATTCAGTGCATTCTTAGTCTTCTACATAATTCACTTTCAGACAGTCATGCCCTCTGTGTTGTAATAGTGTCATTATGTGTGGTATCATTCCTATTCTCACTCTCAAGGCAAACAGGCTGACCACACTCCCAGTATTTTAACTTTTTTTGTAGTGCTTGTTATGTGCTTACCAGGTTGTTAAAATATGTAAATATTTTGGATTGCTTCCACAAGGCCATCATCTCATTTATATCTTAAATCAGAATTATGTTTCACTGTGAGAGAGATAGAGATACTGTTCAATTTTTTCAAGTGAAACCAAAAAACAGCCGGCCAAACCCCTTTTCCTCTTGCTTCAGTCACCTCATTATTACGGAATACCAGAATCTGTTAAAACTTGCAGCACAGTGAATTTACTACATTCCTGTATTGTTGACATACTTGGCCATAGACATTGCTGCAGTATATGTGTGGCTCAGCACCGACCAGGAGTATACTTTCACCTGTCCAGTTCTTTCACATCAATGCAAATGAAGGAAAGGAGACGTGAAGAGGAAGGCGCTTCAGATGACTGAGATGCACTCATAGATTTCCTGCTACCCTCATCCTCTACACTTGAGGAAACATCAGGCACCCTACAGGGCAATAGTAGGTAGTACAATTGAAATACAGAACAAGCAGCATTTTCACTGTTATCTAAAGATGCCCAACTCCAATCCTCAGGCGCTGCAATCCTGCTGTTTTTCATTTCCCCGTGCACTTGATTGATTAATGTCACTAATTTCCCAGAGACCGATTCAAAGGCATGAACACTGTGGTCCACGAAGACTGTAGTTGTGTGCAGCTGCTATATAAAAAGCAATGATGAAACTAAAATAGCAAGAAAAGAGCTGTCAGTTAGTAGCAGTTGTAGCTGTAATTGAGAGATGCAATGATTCTACTGAAGTGTTTATGTTGTAATAGTCTGTGTGTTTGCTGCATCAAACAGGTAGTGGACAGGAAAGGCAGGCCATTGCAGAGAGCAGACCTTTGTCTTTGATGTGAGGTTGTGTGGTCAGAGATGGAGATGGAGTGAGTGATTCTGGCATGTACTAGGCCAGTGGTTCCCAACTTGGCCTATCCACGGGGGGTACTTGAGAAGACTCATTAAACCATAGGCCTACTGGTAAAATGCACATGAGGGGGTACTTTAGGGGACTCCGGGCATAGCAAAGTTCAGTTGGTGGTACAGTAACCAAAAAAGGTTGGGAACTGCTGTACTAGGCTACTGTTTTTCATTTCAAGGTACAATAGTCCACACGGCAATGGATCAAGGGTAATTTTCACTGGTAAAATGCATTTACTACTGTGTGCTTCTGCTTAACGAAATAATAGCCCATAGCGACTGATGTAGTGTACATACTTTGTAAAGAGATTAAATTGAATTTACCAATTTGATACAGATCTATTCTAGGATATTTCGTAGCAGTGGCAGACGTTAAAAACAGTATTGAAAAGTTGTTCGATGCTGGCAAACTTGAGAAAACATGGAAATAAATTGTGTATATATTAAAAAAGAGCCAATATTTTTTTCATGTTTCATTTTGTTAAGAGAGAGGACCCGGCAGCCTATTTAGTTGGTGTGGGGCAGCAACATGTGAGACTGAGTCAGAGGTTCAGGTGCAAACATAGGTGGTACAATTAATTTATTTTACAGCAGGCAGTAATGAAGACTGGATCTAGAGTTGAGTATTTACAAAATGTACAGATTTAATGAAAATAGTTGACAAAAATAATTAACTTCAAAAACAATAAACTTACTTAGCCAAAATAGTACACACACAAAAAAAGCTATCTAGAACCTAAAAGGGCTATTCGGCTGTCCCCATAGGATAACCTTTTTGGTTCCATGTAGAAACCTTTTGGCTCCAGGTAGAACCCTTTTGGGTTCCATGTAGAACCCTTTCCACATGCCCTGATCTTCCTCCCCTTCGATAGAGACATGGTGTAGTGGTAATTTAAAAACACAGTTTTCTGGGAGGTAGAGGGAGGGAAAAACAGAGAGAATCCCCTTATTGAACATTCGATTTCCAAGTGAGAGAATCCCCTTATTGAACATTCGATTTCCAAGTTATGTCTGAGAATATTTCCTCCCCTGGAGATTTCGTGGCTCTAACAGGCTAAATGCTGGGTTCATCTGATGAACAGAAACATTCCCTGACATTAAAATGGCCATTACTTAATATTAACACGTTAATGTAAGTGTGTGTTCGTAAATTCAATCTGGAGTGCCAGAGTGCGCTCAGAGTGCACGCTGGGCATTTGTAAATTCAGAGTGTTTAGCTCTCGGAGCGTTCAGAGCGCACACTGGATGCTCTGGCGGTGGAGTAGGGTTGATCCGAGCTTTCTGACCTCACAACGGCAGTCAAGCACCCAAGCTAACTGGCTAATGTTGGCTAGCTTGCTAGCTACTTCCAGATACAAATGAGAGAACACCTCACTCTGACCATTTTACTCGCCCTAGCAGAGCTGGTTAGGCTGTTTTCATGTTATCCAGAGCGTTGGTGACTGTAACTGTGCTGCTGGCAACAATTTAATTACGCTTTTTTGCCAACGTTTACTGACACCGGCCATATTCAACGGGTGTTGAGGTTCGTAAATGCATCAGTTATTCTGCGCTCTGGCACACTCAGACCAGAGTGCTCTGAAATCCAAGTAGATAGCCAGAGTGAATTTACGAACACAGCTTCAGACAAGAGTGCTCTGAAATCGGAGTAGATAGCCAGAGTGAATTAACAAACGCAGCTTCAGAGGAGAGTGCTCTGAAATCGGAGTAGATAGCAGGAGTGAATTTACGAACGCACCCTTAATGTCTCAGTTTGTGTGGGAAAATGAAGGGAAATATCTTGACATGGCAATGGCTCAGGCACATCGTCACACATTTTCATTTTCCAACAAATAATTACTTCATATTTCTAATTTTCTGCTTTCGGATGCTCTTTCAGTACAAGTCCTGCATGATAGATTCATTGTGATGTTATTTGATTCCTTATTTGAACTTTTTTGCTAGGCCTAATTGTACCTGTGTAGGCCAAAAGACGTTGAACGAGTAAATTCTAGGTAATTCTTTAATAGACTTTACATCTCAATGATAGTATGTAAACTCAACCCACATTATGCTCATGCCTATATTATGGTTTTTGGAAGTGCAGGTAACTGTTATAAAAAGAAAAAAACATGTCTGCAAATCTACTGATACATTTGCATTACTTGACAAAAAATGATAAAAGCAGTTGCGGAACAACCAATTGATTCATATCTGTAACACGGATTATTCTGATTTATTTTGCTTATTTTGTTGGTTTGTGTATTGACCACAGTACTACAGTCTTTCTAAATCTATTCCCGTGGGACCCAGACAGCCTAGCACGAACACACCTGACTCAACTACTTGACTAATCACTAATCACCCAAATCTTGATTAGTTGAATCGAATGTGTTAATAGTGCTGGGCTAGAACCAAAATTTACACACCTTGTGGGGTTAGAGAGCAATGGACTGAGAAGTATGACAAATAAGAACAAAAATGTATAGTGGTTGTTTATTGCATTTGGATATAAATGCATTCATTGTTAGGCACATTAAAAAATAGGATATACAGAACAATACACCAACATAATGCAATTTCCTGTAGTTGGCATAACTCCAAAATTATTAAAACGCTCAACATTCAACATCATACACCCCTAAAGGGCACAGCAAGGCATTACAATTCAAAGAAGAAAATACAGTATACAATAGTGTACACTTGTTTTTGTTGCCAATACTTGCTCATATTGATCAGTCTTACTTTAACCAGTTTTTCTGTAATACACTGTGAGCAACTAAAACAATACAAGAGTTGTCAGTTAATAGTTGCTAGTTGTAGCTGAAATGTGAGATGCAATGATTCTACCGAGGTGTTTCCTTATGTTGTAATAGTCAGTGTGTTTGCTGCTTTAAACAGACAAGTGGACAGGAAACACAGGCCCATGCAGAGAGCACAGTCTTGTTTTCTATGTGAGTTCGTGTGGTTAGAGGTGGAGAGAGACTCTGAGCTAACTCTTACAAACACTGTGAGCTCCTCAATAGAAGACTGTACTGTTTTGCAAACACATACAGTACATAAACAAGAATTATCTTACTTACAAGGGAAAATCTGTGATAATTACTGAAATATCCATTACTAACCATTATACCATATTTTGATGGATGTGTTGAGGTTTATCTATCATGACAAATACTCAAGATTTGGAATTAGAGTCAAAGTACTCCTTAAATGACTCCCAAATGACTCCCTAAGAATCCCTATAAGTTTTTTAAAATGTACAATAAAGCATTGGTGTAAGCTTTTAATCATGCCTCTTTTAACTAACATAGGGACACTTGAAGTTGTAAAAAAAGAAGAAGAAAAAAGATTTCCGGCATTTAGAGGAGGGTATATATATGGTTAAAAAGCTTTGAGACAGTAATTATTCTGATGTGTCAAGATGCGTGCCTGCCTTTTTCTGTTGTGGAGTACTCTCTCAGGTAGATTAATTCCAACTCTTGTATTATTACCACTTCAACAATGCTTCCTTTATGGCAAATTCCTAACCCAAACATTGGCAACAAAAAAAAGCTTTTCCATCACAACTACCAATCAGACAGTTTGCATAATTGTGAGTTTCATAATCCATGTTTTTACTTACAGCTACTTGGACAAACCAAATCATTGTGACCCAGACACCTGGTATGGTGAAAATGATAGCTGGTGGCACGGTGACTTTGGAGTGCCACGTTGATCAGATTCTCACCTATTGCCACTCTGTGACTTGGATGAAAGTAGACCCCAGGACTGGAACAATGAGCACAATAACAAACGTAAAGATTAATACGACCTCTGAGGAAGGGCAACGGGACAGAGTATGTTCGGCAACCATCACCAACGCAATAGTGAGCGACTCTGGCATGTATTACTGTTTGGCTGTTCACTCGAAGGCGGTCCACACTGGCAATGGATCCAATCTAATCGTCACAGGTGAAATACAACTATGCATTTGCTAATTATCAACACCATATAAGCTGCACTGCAAATAACAAGCCTGAAAGAATATTCCCAAATTATAATTGAATGTTATTCTTCTCATTACAGAGAGCAGCACTGAATTTCCAACCATCAAAATCATCTCATCATCAGACAGTGACGGCTCCTCCGCCCCTCTGCTGTGTTTGGTGTCAGGAGTGGTCCCGTCTCAGGTCCATGTGTTCTGGCTCATAGACGGGAGAAAGGAGAGAGGACTTACTGATTCCACCTGGACAGACAACAGTGATTCAGCCACAGAGTTCACTAGGAACCAGATTCTGGTCCAGGCAGAGGAGTGGGACAGAGGGGTGCAGTGTACATGTGTGGTGGAGTTTGAGGGAAATTCTACTACCAAAACTGTGCAAAGAATAGGTACGTTAAAAATATGGTTTTTGGGAAACTGTGGTCAACATTCCCCTCCCAACTGCACCCTTGCAGTGAACAAAACGACTGTTTTACTGCTAGAGAATTCTCTTAACAACGTCCATGACAAGGTACAGAATATTTATGCAGATTACAGTTACCTTACTTACTTACTTACTTAGTACAGTTACATACTTATCTTTGTGTATGGTATGTCATATCCTCAGATCTTGGCGTGCTGTGTTACGTCACAGTGTGGATATACAGACTCCTGGGAATAACTGCCTGGCTTCTGCTGTTGATCATGGCTGCCACTGTGGCAGCATGCAGAGGCAAAAACAGAGGTATGTTTAAATACTGACATACAATGTATTCAGACCCCTTGGCTTTTTCCACATTTTATTAAGTTATAGCTTTGTTCTAAAATTGATTAAATTGTTTTTTTTCCCGTCATCATCTATACACAATACCCCATAATGGCAAGGCAAAAACTGTTTTTTAGAAATTTAGAAATACTTTATTTACATAAGTATTCAGACCGTTTGCTATGAGACTTGAAATTGAGCTCAGGTGCACAGATCTGGGGAAGGGTACCAAAGTATTTCTACAGCATTGAAGGTCCCCAAGAAAACAGTGTCCTCCATCATTCTTAAATGAAAGAAGTTTGGAACCACCAACACTCTTCCTAGAGCTGGCTGCCCGGCCAAACTGAGGAATTGGGGGAGAAGGGCCTTTGTCAGGGAGGTGACCAAGAACCCGATGGTCACTCTGACAGAGCTCCAGAGTTCCTCTGTGGAGATGGGAGAACCTTCCAGAAGGACAACCATCTCTGCAGCACTCCACCAATCAGGCCTTTATGGTAGAGTGGCAAGACTGAAGACACTCCTCAGTAAAAGGCCCATGACAGCCCGCTTGGAGTTTGCCAAAAGGTACCTACAGATTCTCAGACCATGAGAAACAAGATTCTCTGGTCTGATGAAACCAAGATTTAACAATTTGGCTTGAATGCCAAGCGTCACATCTGGAGGAAACCTGGCACAATCCCTACGGTGAAGCATGGTGGTGGCAGCATCATGCTGTGGGGATGTTTTCAGCGGCAGGGACTGGGAGACTAGTCACGATCGAGGGAAAGATGAACGGAGCAAAGTACAGCGAGATCCTTGATGAAAACCTGCTCCAAAGCACTCAGGACCTCAGACTGGGGCGAAGGTTCACCTTCCAACAGGACAATGACCCTAAGCACACAGCCAAGACAACGCAGGAGTGGCTTCGGGACAAGTCTCTGAATGTCTTTGAGTGGCCCAGCCAGAGCCCGGACTTGAACCCGATCGAACATCTCTGGAGAGACCTGAAAATAGCTGTGCAGCGACGCTCCCCATCCAACCTGACAGAGCTTGAGAGGATCTGCAGAGAAGAATGGGAGAAACTCCTCAAATACAGGTGTGCCAAGCTTGTAGCATCATACCCAAGAAGACTCGAGGCTGTAATTGCTGCCCAAGGTGTTTCAACAAAGTACTGAGTAAAGGGTCTGAACACTTATGTAGATGTGATATTTCGGTTTTGTATTTTTAATACATTTGCAAAAATTTCTAAAAACCAGTTTTTGCTTTGTCATTATGGGGTATTGTCTGTAGATTGATGAGGAAAAAAAACAATTTAATCAATTTTAGAATAAGGCTGTGTCACGATCGTCATAATGAGTGGACCAAGGCGCAGCGTGATATGCGTACATCTCTTTAATAGTGTACTTAGCAACACGATACAAAAACAACAAAACGAAATGTGAAGTCCTCGGTCAATAACACAAACCTACACGGAACAAGATCCCACGAATCACAAGTGCACAAAAGGCTGCCTAAGTATGGTTCCCAATCAGAGACAACAAGCAACAGCTGATTCTCGTTGCCTCTGATTGAGAACCACCCCGGCCAACCTAGAAACACATAACCTAGAACAGAACATAGAAAACGAAACATAGACACTACAAAAAGAAACTAACACCCTGGCTCAACATACAAGAGTCCCCAGAGCCAGGGCGTGACAGGCTGTAATGTAACAAAATGTGGAAAAAGTCACGGGGTCTGAGTACTTTCTGAATACGCTGTAGGTCCTGAATGACCCAAATACATGAATAGAATAGAATGTAATAATACAAATATACAAATGTACTGTACGTTGTAATGGTTCAGTTACACAATAGAATAATTCACCTGTTTTGACATGCACTGTTTTGAGTCTTTATATCCATTTTGTGTCTTAGGTGTTCAGAGGAATGATACCTCAAAGAACAGGGGAAAAAGGCATAATTCATCATAAAAAGGAAAAGGTTTTATAGTTTTTCATTTGTACAAAGTCATTTTGGCAGCAATGACATGTGTTAAGACAATTGGGAAAAGTTGTTTATTTTTTGTTGTTGATGTTGCTTGCTTAACTGTTGCTAACTATAAAAAAATGAAAGTGTAATATAGAAAAAGCTAATTTGGATGTCAAATTGCAGTTATATTTTTCTCATAGAACTGATTCATATTTAATTACTGTCCACTCTCTCATTACAAATTCTGGGTCATTTATCAATCTTTTTCTTAATCTAAACATTTGAAGGAGTGATTGTAATGTTATTGATTTCCTCTCTGTGAACCACACTTTGCTAGGTTTCATGCAGGCAACTATGTAGTTACAGACTTCGAATGAATCAATTTCAAGAAAATGTCCATGTTTAAAAGATGCAATACAATAGTATTGCTTCATTCCTTATGCTCATGCTATGTTGTTACTGCCATATTTGCTAAAGTAATAAACCTGTCCAGAAATCCTGACCATATGTTTGTACTACTAACTTGTAAAGGAGAGACATGATACCCAACTCTTTGACTCTTACTAAGTGCATATCAGATAATCAAATAAAATCACATTTTATTTGTCACATGCCCCGAATACAACAGGTGTAGACTTTACCATGAACTGCTTACTTACGAGCCCTTTCCCAACAATGCAGAGTTAAAAACGGGAATAGTAACACAGATACATGCATATTTTATGCTAAAATAGTTGCAATTGCTGTGCAATAAGTGTCCTCAAATTAAAAAGTGAAACTTTGGAAGTAAGCAGTGTGCAGCAGCGTCGCTTATCCGACTCGTCTTATTTAGTCCAACAGACTAAATGTTTAAATGCATCCCATGTGAGATAGGGTGAGATTATTGCTGGTCTCTGTCGGTTTGCTTTCATCATAAAAACACAAGTCAAAGTAACTTTAAACCAAGTCATTAAGCTACACAAACCCTTTCAGACACTTTGGAATAACTTAGGCAGGAAATGTAAAACATGATAATGTTGAGTAGATCAACTTACATTGGTATTTTTTTATTATACAGTGAGCGGTCTGTGACAGTGGCTAGGTCAACAACTCCAAAGCATGGATTGCAGTCTCTCCTTATCTATAGACTACTTTGAGGGTAATTAAATGAATTCATTCATTAATGCATTTTGTTATTTGAGTGAACCTATCCCTTCAAATGTCATTGCCAGGTAAATTAATGGAGAAGAGCATGATTTCGTTCAGAGAATGAACTGTCAGACGTTTTCTATGTACAATTTTGGGGTTGCTCCAGATTTGTCAGTCTATAACATAGAGGCCTCCTCTTCCTTCCTGCCCTCCATCTCATAGACTATATGCCAATGAAGAGCCATTTCATGCAACCTGTTTCCAAATGAGGAGTTAAAACATATAGGCTAATTTAAATGGAGTAATAACATTTTCATATAGAAAAGTAGAAACATTGGTATACAGTGCATTCGGAAAGTATTCAGACCCTTTCACATTTTCCACATTTTGTTAAGTTACAGCCTTATTCTAAAATTGATTAAATAAATAAAAATCGTCATCAATCTACACACAATACCCCATAATGACAAAGCAAAAACAGGTTTTTAGAAATGTATTACAATTAAAAAACAGAAATACCTTATTTACTTAAGTATTCAGACCCTTCGCTATGAGATTCAAAATTGAGCTCAGGTGCATCCTGTTTCCATTGATCATCCTTGAGATGTTTCTACAACTTGATTGGAGTCCACCTGTGGTACATTAATTTGATTGGACATGATTGGGAAAGGTACACACCTGTCCATATAAGGTCACACAGTTGACAGTGCATGTCAGAGCAAAAACCAAGCCATGAGGTCGAAGGAATTGTCTGTAGAGCTCCGAGACAGGATTGTGTCGAGGCCCAGATCTGGGGAAGGGTGCAAAAACATTTCTGCAGCATTGAAGGTCCCCAAGAACACAGTGTCCTCCATTATTCTTAAATGAAAGAAGTTTGGAACCACTAACACTCTTCCTAGAGCTGGCCGCCCAGCCAAACTGAGGAATCGGGTGAGAAGGGCCTTGGTCAGGGAGGTGACCAAGAACCCGATGGTCACTCTGACAGAGCTCCAGAGTTCCTCTGTGGAGATGGGAGAACCTTCCAGAAGGACAACCGTCTCTGCAGCATTCCACCAATCAGGCCTTTATGGTAGAGTGGTCAGATGGAAGACACTCCTCAGTAAAATGCACATGACATCCCGCTTGGAGTTTACCAAAAGGCACCTAAACTCCCTGCGGACCTGTCATCTTTTCACTCCCTCCTCTCTACATTCTCTTCCTCTGTTTCCGCTGCTAAAGCCACTTTCTACCACTCTAAATGTCAAGCCTCTGCCTCTAACCCTAGGAAGCTCTTTGCCACCTTATACTCCCTGCTGAATCCTCCTCCTCCTCCCCCTCCCTCCTCCCTCTCTGTGGATGACTTCGTCAACCATTTTGAAAAGAAGGTTGACGACATCCGATCCTCATTTATTAAGTCAAATGACACCGCTGGTCCTGCTCACACTGCCCTACCCTATGCTTTGACTTCTTTCTCCCCTCTCTCTCCAGATGAAATCTTGCAACTTGTGTAGGCCGGCCGCCCAACAACCTGCCCGCTTGACCCTATCCCCTCCTCTCTTCTCCAGACCATTTCGGGAGACCTTCTCCCTTACCTCACCTCGCTCATCAACTCATCCTTGACCGCTGGTCATGTCCCTTCTGTCTTCAAGAGAGTGAGAGTTGCACCCCTCCTCAAAAAACCTACACTTGATCCCTCCGATGTCAACAACTACAGACCAGTATCCCTTCTTTCTTTTCTCTCCAAAACTCTTGAGCGTGCCGTCTCTAGCCAACTCACCTGCTATCTCTCTCAGAATGACCTTCTTGATCCAAACCAGTCAGGTTTCAAAACTGGTCATTCAACTGAGACTGCTCTTCTCTGTGTCACGAGGCTCTCCGCACTGCTAAAGCTAACTCTCTCTCCTCTGCTTTTATCCTTCTAGATCTATCCGCTGCCTTTGATACTGTGAACCATCAGATCCTCCTCTCCACCCTCTCCGAGTTGGGCATCTCCGGCGCTGCTCACTCTTGGATTGCGTCCTACCTGACCGGTCGCTCCTACCAGGTGGTGTGGTGAGAATCTGTCTCCGCACCACGTGCTCTCACCACTAGTGTCCCCCAGGATTCAGTTCTAGGCCCTCTCCTATTCTCTCTATACACCAAGTCACTTGGCTCTGTCATATCCTCACATGGTCTCTCCTATCATTGCTACGCAGACGACACACAATTAATTTGATCTTTTCCCCTTTCTGATAATCAGGTGGTGAATCGCATCTCTGCATGTCTGGCAGACATATCAATGTGGATGTCGGATCACCACCTCAAGCTGAACCTCGGCAAGACAGAGCTGCTCTTCCTCCCGGGGAAGGACTGCCCGCTCCATGATCTCGCCATCACGGTTGACAACTCCATTGTGTCCTCCTCCCAGAGTGCAAAGAACCTTGGCATGACCCTGGACAACACCCTGTCGTTCTCCGTTAACATCAAAGTGGTGACCCGATCCTGCAGGTTCATGCTCTACAACATTCGCAGAGTACGACCCTACCTTACACAGAAAGCGGCACAGGTCCTAATCCAGGCACTTGTCATCTCCCGTCTGGATTACTGCAACTCGCTGGCTGGGTTCTCTGCCTGTGCCATTAAACCCCTACAACTTATCCAGAATGCTGCAGCCCGTCTGTTGTTCAACCTTCCCAAGTTCTCTCATGTCACCCCGCTCCTCCGCACACTCCACTGGCTTCCAGTTGAGGCTCGCATCTACTACAAGACCATGGTGCTTGCCTACGGAGCTGTGAGGGGAACGGCACCTCCTTACCTTCAGGCTCTGATCAGACCCTACACCCAAACGAGGGCTCTACGTTCATCCACCTCTGGCCTGCTAGCTCCCCTACCTCCTCGGAAGCACAGTTCCCGCTCAGCCCAGTCAAAGCTATTCGCTGCTCTGGCACCCCAATGGTGAAACAAGCTCCCCCATGATGCCAGGACAGCGGAGTCACTGACCACCTTCCGGAGACACTTGAAACCCTACCTCTTTAAGGAATACCTGGAATAGTATAAAGTAATCCTTCTTCCCCCACCCCCTATAAAAAAAGGGGGTTGTCCCACTGGCTATCATAAGTTGAATGCACCAATTTGTAAGTCGCTCTGGATAAGAGCGTCTGCTAAATGATGTAACTGTACCTGTAAAGACTCTCAGACCATGAGAAACAAGATTCTCTGATCTGATGAAACCAAGAGTGAATGCCAAGCGTCACGTCTGGAGGAAACCTGGCACCATCTCTATGGTGAAGCATGATGGTGGCAGCATCGTTCTGTGGGGATGTTTTTCAGCGGCAGGGACTGGGAGACTAGTCAGGATCAAGGGAAAGATGAATGGAGCAAAGTACAGCGAGATCCTTGATGAAAACATACTCCAGAGCGCTCAGGACCTCAGACTGGGGCCAAGGTTCACCTTCCAACAGGACAATGACCTTAAGCACACAGCCAAGACAACGCAGGAGTGGCTTCGGGACAAGTCTCTGAATGTCCTTGAGAGGTCCAGCCAGAGCCCGGACTTGAACCCGATCGAACATCTCTGGAGAGACCTGAAAATAGCTGTGCAGCGACGCTCCCCATCCAACCTGACAGAGCTTGAGAGGATCTACAGAGAAGAATGCGAGAAACTCCCCAAATACAGGTGTACCAAGCTTGTAGCGTCATACCCAAGAAGACTTGAGGCTGTAATCGCTGCCAAAGGTGCTTCAACAAATTACTGAGTAAATACTTATGTAAATGTGATATTTCCCGTTTAAAAAAAATAAAAAATTCTACAAACCAGTTTTTGCTTTGTCATTATGGGGTATTGTGTGTAGATTAATGAGGGGAAAACATAATTTAATCAATTTTAGATTAAGGCTGTAACGTAACAAATTTTGGAAAAAGTCAAGGGGTCTGAATACTTTCCGGATGCACTGTACATTTACAATGTGTTACTCCTATTGTCATTGCTGAAAATAATGTGAGATCTGTAGCTGAGTGTGAGATTCAGTAGCAGAGTAGACCTAAAGTGGTTTGCGTACTGTTCATAATTGTGCCAGAGCAGTGGACAGAAAGTAACACCCATCAAGTCAGGACGTACAGCAGCGGCTTTGTTGTGTCCTCTTTGTCTTGTGGTTTGAAGAGGCGACACCAACTGAGGTGGTCTTTCAAGGTAAAGCTCAACAGGTTGACTTCTGAAGAATTGATGCACTCATGAAAAAAAAATCCCCATTGCAACTGTTGTGACCTTTTGTGCCTTTGCAAATTATTTTGAATTATTTGTCACTAATGGTGTTTTATAAACCTTTTTTATCACCCAAACTAAATAATTATGAAAAACATACTGTTATACTGATCATCATCATCATTTGTGTCAATTCCATTCCAATTAAATAAAAAAATTGGAGCTTTGCATGCGGCGCTGACTAACGTTGAAACACAATGGAGACCACTATGTTGTGTAACTACCTCTTCTCTTTAAAAGGTCTGTTTTTCTGAGGTTGCTAACCAGAATGGTAGCATCAATTGTCTGCAGTCCATTTTTATTCACTGACGTGGCCTCACAACCTTAATCAGGTCAAAGACAAGACCACCATATTGCACATTTAGGTTGGAGAGCATTTCAGTCTGTGTCAACTTTTGATTCAAACCTTGTTGATATGCCAAATGAATAAAGACACTTTGAATTAGCTAAAGAAGAGTGTCTTGCATAAACTGTAAAGATGTACCTTGTAAAGATAAACTGATGTAAATGTCTAACTTAAAATTACTTGGACTGAAAAATTGACTGATATGCCTTAGCATATAACATCCTCCTGAATCTGCCACGGACTGCATCGAGAGACAGCTTTCTACAAATCTACATAAATGTCTCTGTAATATGTTTCAGAAATTGTTTGGAAATGAAAAGCACACCTTCATTGTCATTCAGTGTTTTCTTTATTTCTAAATCAGTACCCCATTGTCACCTGTCTAAAGGCAGTGATTCCCATTTGTGTGTGTCTGTGTGTTGGGGTGGGGCTGAACTATTCTTCCATCCTGTCAGATGTACGCTCGTTATTACTTAGCTGAAGGAGCGAGCAATTTTTCTCAACCCTCTGATGTTAAACATGTATATTCAGCTTCTGATTCTGTGCTGCATGCATATTTTGAAAGGTAAGCTACCTCTAATTTTATTCATTAATTGCATTTAATTGATTCTACACTACAAAATCTTGTTTTATCATAGCGGTCACCATTGACCTATAACATAAACTGAAAACAAAACACTTTCAGCATCATAAAAAAAAAAGTGAATTCGGAAAGTAATCACACCCTTTGACTTTTTCCACATTTTGTTACGTTACAGCCTTATTCTAAAATTGATTCAATTGTTTTTTTCCTTATCAATCTACACATAATACTCCATATTGGCAAAGCAAAAACAGGTTTTTTTGTGCAAATTAAAAAACCCTGCCGCTGAAAAATATCCCCACAGCATGATGCTGCCACCACCACCGTTTCATGCAGACACTTGGCATTCAGGCCAAAGACTTTACTCTTGGTTTCATCAGACCAGATAATCTTGTTTCTCATGGTCTGAGAGTCCCTTAGGTGCCTGTTGGCAAACTCCAAGCAGGCTGTCATGTGCCTTTTACTGAGGAGTGGCTTCCGTCTGACCACTCTACCATAAAGGCCTGATTGATGGAGTGCTGCAGAGACGGTTGTCCTTCTGGAAGGTTCTCCCATCTCCACAGAGGAACTCTGGAGCTCTGTCAGAGTGACCATCGGGTTCTTGGTCACCTCCCTGACCAAGGCCCTTCTCCCCCGATTGCTCAGTTTGGTCGGGCGGCCAGCTCTAAGAAGATTCTTGGTGGTTCCAAACCTTCAATGCTGCAGAATTGTTTTGGCACCCTTCCCCAGATCTGTGCCTCGACACAATTCTGTCTCGGAGCTCTATGGACAATTCCTTCGATCTCATGGCTTGTTTTTTTGCTCTGACATGCACTGTCAACTGTGGGACCTTATATAGACAGGTGTGTGCCTTTCCAAATCATGTCCAATCAATTGAATTTTCCACAGGTGGACTCCAATCAAGTTGTAGGAACATCTCAAGGATGATTAATTGAAACAGGATGTACCTGAGCTCAATTTCGAGTCTCATAGCAAAGGATCTGAATAATTGTGTAAATGGGATATTTTTGGTTTTTATTTTTTATAAATGTGCAAAACGTTCTAAAAACCTGTTTTTGCTTTGTCATTCTGGGGTACTGTGTGTAGATTAATGAATAAAAAATAGGCTGTGGAAATTGTGGAAAAAGGGAAAAGGTCTGAATGCTTTCCAAATGCATTGTACAGTGAGGGAAAACATTATTTGATCCCCTGCTGATTTTGTATGTTTGCCCACTGACAATGAAATGATCAGTCTATAATTTTAATGGTAGGTTTATTTGAACAATGAGAGACAGAATAACAACAACAAAAATCCAGAAAAACGCATGTCAAAAATGTTATAAATTGATTTGCATTTTAATGAGGGAAATAAGTATTTGACCCCCTCTCAATCAGAAAGATTTCTGGCTCCCAGGTGTCTTTTATACAGGTAGCGAGCTGAGATTAGGAGCACACTCTTAAAGGGAGTGCTCCTAATCTCAGTTTGTTACCTGTATAAAAGACACCTGTCCACAGAAGCAATCAATCAATCAGATTTCAAACTCTCCACCATGGCCAAGACCAAAGAGCTCTCCAAGGATGTCAGGGACAAGATTGTAGACCTACACAAGGCTGGAATGGGCTACAAGACCATCGCCAAGCAGCTTGGTGAGAAGGTGACAACAGTTGGTGCGATTATTCTCAAATGGAAGTAACACAAAATAACTGTCAATCTCCCTCGGCCTGGGGCTCCATGCATGATCTCACCTCGTGGAGTTGCAATGATCATGAGAACGGTGAGGAATCAGCCCAGAACTACACGGGAGGATCTTGTCAATTATCTCAAGGCAGTTGGGACCATAGTCACCAAGAAAACAATTGGTAACACACTACGCAGTGAAGGACTGAAATCCTGCAGCGCCCGCAAGGTCCCCCTGCTCAAGAAAGCACATATACAGGGCCGTCTGAAGTTTGCCAATGAACATCTGAATAATTCAGAGGAGAACTGGGTGAAAGTGTTGTGGTCAGATGAGACCAAAATCGAGCTCTTTGGCATCAACTCAACTCGCCGTGTTTGGAGGAGGAGGAATGCTGCCTATGACCCCAAGAACACCATCCCCACCGTCAAACATGGAGGTGGAAACATTATGCTTTGGGGGTGTTTTTCTGCTAAGGGGACAGCACAACTTCACCGCATCAAAGGGACGATGGACGGGGCCATGTTCCGTCAAATCTTGGGTGAGAACCTCCTTACCTCAGCCAGGTCATTGAAAATGGGTTGTGGATGGGTATTCCAGCATGACAATGACCCAAAACACACGGCCAAGGCAACAAAGGAGTGGCTCAAGAAGAAGCACATTAAGGTCCTGGAGTGGCCTAGCAAGTCTCCAGACCTTAATCCCATAGAAAATCTGTGGAGGGAGCTGAAGGTTCGAGTTGCCAAACGTCAGCCTCGAAACCTTAATGACTTGGAGAAGATCTGCAAAGAGGAGTGGGACAAAATCCCTCCTGAGATGTGTGCAAACCTGGTGGCCGACTACAAGAAACGTCTGACCTCTGTGATTGCCAACAAGGGTTTTGCCACCAAGTACTAAGTCATGTTTTGCAGAGGGGTCAAATACTTATTTCCCTCATTAAAATGCAAATCAATTTATAACATTTTTGAAATGCATTTTTCTGGATTTTGTTGTTGTTATTCTGTCTCTCACTGTTCAAATAAACCTACCATTAAAATTATAGACTGATCATTTCTTTGTCAGTGGGAAAACATACAAAATCAGTAGGGGATCAAATACTTTTTTCACTCACTGTATATACAAAAGTATGTGGACACCTCTTCAAAATTAGTGGATTTGACTATGTTGCTGACAGGTGTATAAATTCGAGCACACAGCCATGCAATCTCCATAGACAAACATTGGCAGTAGAGTGGCCTTACTGCAGAGCTCAGTCACTTTGAAAGTGGCACCATCATAGGATGCCGCCTTTCCAACAAGTCAGTTCATAAAATTTCTGCCCTGGTAGAGCTGTCCCGGTCAACTGTAAGTGCTGTTATTGTGAAGTGGAAACGTCTAGGAGCAACAACAGCTCAGCCGCGAAGTGGTAGGCCACACAAGCTCACAGAACGGGACCGCCGAGTGCTGAAGCGCGTAGCGCCCAAAAATAGTCTGTCCTCGGTCAGCATAATAACTGTTCGTCGGGAGCCACCATTGGATTCTGGAGCAGTGGAAATGCGTTCTCTGGATTGATGAATCACGCTTCACCATCTGGCAGTCCGACGGACGAATTTGGGTTTGGCGGACGCCAGGAGAACGCTACCTGCCTCAATGCATAGTGCCAACTGTAAAGTTTGGTGGAGGAGGAATAATGGTCTGGGGCTGTTCATTCTAGAGGATTCTGTGCTTCCAACTTTGTGTGAACAATTTGGGGGAGGTCCTTTCCTGTTTTAGCATGATAATGCCCCGTGCATAAAGCGAGGTCCATACAGAAATGGTTTGTTGAGATTGGTGTGAAAGAATTTGACTGGCCTGCACAAAGCCCTGACCTCAACCCCATCGAACACCTTTGGGATGAATTGGAAAGCCGACTGCGAGCCAGGCCTAATTGCCCAATATCAGTGCACGACCTCACCAATGCTCTTGTGGCTGAATGGAATCCCCCGCAGCAATGTTCCAACATCTAGTGGAAAGCCTTCCCAGAAGAGTGGAGGCTGTTATAGCAGCAAAGGGGGACCAACTCCATATTAATGCCCATGATTTTGGAATGAGATGTTCGACAAGCAGGTGTCCACATACTTTTGGTCATGTAGTGTATCACTTTAACCCAATATCAATCTATGGAAGGCATTTGGTTCAGTACCATGTTTCCATCTTCAGTTGTAGTGCCCATCTTGTCGGAGGACTCAACAGTGACCCAGTATCCACCTGTTGTTGAGGAGGTAGTCGGCGGCAACATCACCATGAACTGCATTCTGGAGGGGTTGACGTCTTACTGTTATACCGTCGCCTGGATAAGACTGCCCAAACAACCCGGGGCGCTGCGAGTCCCCAAGAACACCGTTATCAACACCAGATCTCAGTATGAAATCTTCAAGAATATGTGCCCAGTGTCCATCTACAACGCAACTGTCACCGACTCTGGGATTTACTACTGTGCCGTCATATATGGCCAGCAGATCTACTTAGGCAATGGCACCACAGTGATTGTTAAAGGTTAGTCCTATAGCATTTTAACTATTAAAACATTCATAGACCTTTTTATTGTAACCTGTATCTCAAGTTTTACTTTAACTTGTGTTCTGTAAGCGTCACAGGCATGTGCTATGTCACTGATGCAGTATTTGAAATAAAGATTACATCAGTTTCCAAATCACCATTTTTATTTCCTTCCCCAATTTTTCCCTTTATTCCCTTTTGTTCATGTAGATGAAACCAAAGCTCCTCCAACCATCGAAATCCTGAAACCGCAGAATAGCTACAATTCCTTTGTCTCTCTCCTGTGTTTGGTGTCAGGAGTGGTCCCGTCTCAGGTCCATGTGTTCTGGCTCATAGACGGGAGAGAGGACAGTGGACTTACTGAGTCCACCTGGACAGACAACAGTGATTCAGCCACAGAGTTCACTAGGAACCAGATTCTGGTCAAAGCAGAGGAGTGGGACAGAGGTGCAGAATGCACATGTGTGGTGGAGTTAGAAGGGCAGTATATCACCAAAACCGTGCAACACAATGGTAACTGCTCTTCCTCTTACTGTCATTAGTTCGTACTACTGTAATAATATTGACCGTATGTTCATGTAGTTAGTAGCATTCATTTGACAAGAAATGCAGTGAATATGAAGATATTTAAACTTTTTGTATTGAGCTGTACCATTCCCTTTGATGAGATATTATTGTGTCCTGTCAGACTTCTCCACGATGTGTTACACCATAGTGAGTCTCTACAGGGTTCTGGGAATTGTGTCCACTCTTCTTCTTCTCCTTACACTGACTGCATGGGCACAACTATCAGGCAAGAGCAACAATTCAGGTAAGAATTATTTTTGTATGATAGCTAATTATATACTGAACAAAAATATAAAACGCAACATGCAACAATTTTAACGATTTTACTGAGTTACAGTTAATATAAGGACATCAGTCAATTGAAATTAATCAATTAGGCCCTAATCTATGGATTTCACATGACTGGGCAGGGGCGCAGCCATGGGCTGGCCTGGGAGAGTATAGGCCCACCCACTTGGGAGCCAGGCACACCCACTGGGGAGCCAGGCCCAGCTAATCAGAATTAGTTTTCCCCTACAAAAGGGCTTTATTACAGACAGAAATACTCCTCAGTTTCATCAGCTGTCCGTTTGGCTGGTCTCAGACGATCCTGCAGGTGAAGAAGCCGGATGTGGAGGTCCTGGGCTGGTGTGGGTACACGTTCATGGTCTGAGGTTGTAAGGCCGGTTGGACGTAATGCACAATTCTCTAAAGCGACGCTGGAGGCGGCTTATGGTAGAGAAATGAACATGACATTATCTGGCAACAGCTCTGGTGAACATTCCTGCAGTCAGCATGCCAATTGCACGCTCCCTCAAAACATTGTGTTGTGTGACAAAACTGCACATTTTAGAGTGGCCTTTTATTGTTCCCAGCACAAGGTATATGATATGCCACACCTGTCAGATGGATGGATTATCTTGGCAAAGGAGAAATGCTCACTAACAGGGATGTAGACATATTTCTGCACAACATTTGAGAGAAATCAGCTTTTTTTGCGTATGGAACATTTCTGGGCTCTTTTATTTCAGCTCATAAAACATGGGACCAACACTTTACATGTTGCATTTATATTTTGTTCAGTATAGTTACGCGTGTGTGCGTGAAACATTGTCCGATGTGAATACACACAAATATTAGTTTTTTTGTTTTACTTTTGACTAACTTAAAGTGCTATCTGTGTTCTTTTGTTTTTTTGTTTAGGCAAGTCTAAGAAAAGCAACAGAAAACCCCCAAACTAAAGAAAAGGAGGGCTTTGGGATTCTGTCTTCATTGTGAAAACTGCAGTAAACCAACATTCAGAATTTGAGTGCTTTGTGTGAATCCGAGTGCTTCACACCGACTAGGAAGATGTTAAGTATGTAGTACATTTTCACTGGGTGTCGAAAGGCTATAGAATATTTGAGTGTGACTTTTTTTTCCCTATTAACTTTGCTTTTGATTTCATTACATGAAAATTGTCAGATAAGCAATATGCATAAAAAAGAAAGGGTTAGAGTAGGCTAATGCTTCAATAAAGTGATATCCTTAAAGTACTGTAGTGATGAAATGTTAGTCTTTCTCATCTAGTGGCACAGTCATCGTGTGTCACTGTCTCAATACATCCAGTAGATATCAGTGTTTACTCAAAATCTACAATCTACCCTTCCTGTCACTCAGATAGGCTGGAGGTTTTTTAACTATTCAAAAACATAATGTAGGAAACTCCATTAACTAAGTTATCTGCATCAACATTAAACAAACTAGTCATCATTTTAAACTAAATTATTATTTATGTGATGCTATATCATACTGTAAAAGTGTTTGTGTTTTTTACAGTTCACTAAAGCCAGTATAACTTTTTACTTAACAAGAATTACTACTGTCCTTTGTATTGAGAGTATGACAATTTCATTACCTAAATTGTAATACTTTTGTTCTGTCTTGCCATTACTTACTTGATTTTACCATGACTTAATCCAAACACATCCTTTTCATTCATCAGCCAGGGTGCTTTATTTTCCATTCAGGACTAAGCCTTTAAACTAATGTTGTTGTGGAAAATTAATTGTTACAATAATAACAGCACATTCCATCTATTGTCTGAGTTTCATTGATATCATGAAAGCTGCTGAGGTTAGGTTAAGTGATAGGATGATAGCTGGTAGCATATCACGAAAGTAAAAATGTTAATCTTTCATAATGTGCTATAGGGTGAAAAAGCCTGCAAATAGAATCTGCTAGTGATTTGTTATAAGCAAGGAATGGATTTGACCAAAGCTGTGTCTGACCAAAAGCATATCATCCTGAGAATGCCACACCTTGCAGAGACAGCGAGAGACAGATTGAGTGTGTGTGCAGGAGAGAGTTAGGCAGCTAAAGCTTAAACTACTGTGGTCTGTGGTCAGCTTCTGTTCTGAAGGCTACAGTTTCTCATATGTTACACAATCTGCAGTCTGTGCAGGATCAAACAACTCACAAGTGTCAAAAAACAGTAAGCCTTCTCATTTTGGTCAGAGAAATAAGATGTACAGAGTTCGTCAAAGTGTGTTTGAGATTGAGAATTTGAATATATTTTTTAGCAGTCAAGCAAAGTTTTTAAACATATGTTTGAGATATCTGTTCAAAAATATAGGCAATGTTGGCACCAACAGTTCCAGGAAAATTGTAAATTAGATAAGAGGTAATGAAAGAGGTAATAAAATGAAAACAAAGAAAAACAAAGACATTCATTTACAAATAATCCCAGAGGATGACACATGATAGCATAAGAACACTTATTTCCAATGTGGTCCTCTGTGTAGGACAAAAACAGGACATAACACATGAAAATACATGGAAATACACAGGAAAATACATGGGCCTGTGATAAGCAGCTAAATAGCCTACACCACAATAAATACATCATCAACACAAAATTCAAGACTATTTCAGTCATTTTCCTATGTAGGCCGGTACACGTTCTCCCACGGAAGGGCTCTAACCTGACCTCTGAAAACAGTTTAGGACTGGAACAGCTTAATGGCTAATGGGAGGCTATTCCACAGTTGAAATCCAATATAAAAGAAAGAGCTCTGTGTTTGCTATTGGCTCTGGGCACTTTGCAATTGCGGACACTGGCTCTTGCTTTATACACAAATACATACATAATAATCTGAAAACTCTTATGCAATTTCTTCTTCCAAATCTTATTGGATAATTGTATTTGGGCATCTCCCAAAATTGATATGGTCCAAAGTCGCATACTGGACCTGTGTAACGATCAAAAACAGGGAGTTCAATATAGGAGGCTTGTTTCTCAACAGTTCAGAAATCGGTATAGCTTTTGCTTTATATTCAAGTATACAAAAATGCTTTAATACTTTATGTGGACTGAATTGGGGCAGCAATACTGCAACTGTAAACAAGGGTCTCATATGTGACTATTCACACCATAGAAATTAGAGTCAGTCAATCTCAATCAATACATTCACAATGGAGATAACTGAGTAATAATCTAAAACAATCATTCTAGGGGTGAGAGTAGGTTTAGCCTCAATTCATTTGAGTTTGTTTACAAATATAATAAATATAAAAATGCCAATCTGTATTTACACAAACCACAAACAGGTATATCGCCTATAAGTACTGTAATTACACTATACTTATCAAGTAATACACCAGTATGAGACATTTCAGAGCTGAAATGGTGATTTAAAAGTTCTACCTGAGAAAATCTGATAGCATGGCAATGGATTATAAAAGTATGCAACATTTAAAAAATATTGGCACTTCCACCAAAAATTCTAACCCAAATACAATAGCTACTTACCGAGACGGATGATCTAACTGCCTTTCTTGCTTCTCCACGTTTCCCTGCAAATGTTACAAGTCAGATCATGACAAACACCAATGCAGCCATGACATCCCCCGACAAACTACTGTACTTCAAAAAGTTTTGGAATCCTTCAATCAACCAACCCTGCATACTCCATCAAGAGATGCTGTGAGAACTAATGGTGTCTCAAAGTGCTACAATGGCACCCCATTTATTTCTCTATGAAATATTTTGATCTCATCTCTCACACAGAAATGTAAAACAGAGTCCCCTAAAAAATGCCATCCAGGACCTCTATACCAGGCGGTGTCAGAGGAAGGCCCTAAAAATTGTCAAAGACTCCAGCCACCCTAGTCATAGACTGTTCTCTCTGCTACCGCACGGCAAGCGGTACCAGAGCGCCAAGTCTAGGTCCAAAAGGCTTCTTAACAGCTTCTACCCCCAAGCCATAAGACTCCTGAACAGCTAATCATGTCTACCCGGACTATTTGCATTGTCCCCCCCACCCCACCCTAACCCCTCTTTTACGCTGCTGCTACTCTCTGTTTATTATCTATGCATAGTCACTTTAACTCTACCTACATGTACATATTACCTCAATTACCTTGACTAATCTGTGCCCCCACACATTGACTCTGTACCGGTACCCCCTGTATACAGTGAGGAAAAAAAGTATTTGATCCCCTGCTGATTTTATACGTTTGCCCACTGACAATGAAATGATCAGTCTATAATTTTAATGGTAGGTTTATTTGAACAGTGAGAGACAGAATAACAACAACAAAAATCCAGAAAAACGCATGTCAAAAATGTTATAAATTGATTTGCATTTTAATGAGGGAAATAAGTATTTGTCCCCCTCTCAATCAGAAAGATTTCTGGCTCCCAGGTGTCTTTTATACAGGTAACGAGCTGAGATTAGGAGCACACTCTTAAAGGGAGTGCTCCTAATCTCAGTTTGTTACCTGTATAAAAGACACCTGTCCACAGAAGCAATCAATCAATCAGATTCCAAACTCTCCACCAAGACCAAAGAGCGCTCCAAGGATATCAGGGACAAGATTGTAGACCTACACAAGGCTGGAATGGGCTACAAGACCATCGCCAAGCAGCTTGGTGAGAAGGTGACAACAGTTGGTGTGATTATTCGCAAATGGAATAAACACAAAAGAACTGTCAATCTCCCTCGGCCTGGGGCTCCATGCAAGATCTCACCTCGTGAGATCTTGCAATGATAATGAGAACGGTGAGGAATCAGCCCAGAACTACACGGGAGGATCTTGTCAATGATCTCAAGGCAAACAATTGGTATACACTATGCCGTGAAGGACTGAAATCCTGCAGCGCCCGCAAGATCCCCCTGCTCAAGAAAGCACATATACATGCCCGTCTGAAGTTTGCCAATGAACATCTGAATGATTCAGAGGAGAACTGGGTGAAAGTGTTGTGGTCAGATGAGACCAAAATCGAGCTCTTTGGCATCAACTCAACTCGCCGTGTTTGGAGGAGGAGGAATGCTGCCTATGACCCCAAGAACACCATCCCCACCGTCAAACATGGAGGTGTTTTTCTGCTAAGGGGACAGCACAACTTCACCGCATCAAAGGGATGATGGACGGGGCCATGTATCGTCAAATATTGGGTGGGAACCTCCTTACCTCAGCCAGGGCATTGAAAATGGGTCGTGGATGGGTATTCCAGCATGACAATGACCCAAAACACACAGCCAAGGCAACAAAGGAGTGGCTCAAGAAGAAGCACATTAAGGTCCTGGAGTGGCCTAGCCAGTCTCCAGACCTTAATCCTATAGAAAATCTGTGGAGGGCGCTGAAGGTTTGAGTTGCCAAACGTCAGGCCTCGAAACCTTAATGACTTGGAGAAGATCTGCAAAGAGGAGTGGGACAAAATCCCTCCTGAGATGTGTGCAAACCTGGTGGCCAACTACAAGAAACGTCTGACCTCTGTGATTGCCAACAAGGGTTTTGCCACCAAGTAGTAAGTCATGTTTTGCAGAGGGATCAAATACTTATTTCCCTCATTAAAATGCAAATCAATTTATAACATTTTTGACATGCGTTTTTCAGAACTTTGTTGTTGTTATTCTGTCTCTCACTGTTCAAATAAACCTACCATAAAAATTATAGACTGATCATTTCATCATGTCAGTGGGCAAACGTACAAAATCAGCAGGGGATCAAATACTTTTTTCCCTCACTGTATACCCTCCCTACTGTTATTATATTTTACTGCTGCTCTTTAATAATTATTTACTTATCTATTTTTTACTTAACACTTATTTTTCTTAAAACTGCATTGTTGGTTAAGGGCTTGTAAGTAAGCATTTCACTGTAAGGTATACACCTGTTGTATTCGGCGCTGGTGGCAAATAAAATGTGATTTGATTTGAAAATCCATCTAAAATAGTCGGCTGTTGTAATCCTAAATTAGAAAAATTATAACATTTTACCAGATTGATGCTGCCTGCTCTCAGTGCCTGTGACTCTTTGTCTGAAATTGAAACAGAGTATTTCACATTAGCACTCCAGCGATCACTGACTTCTCAAATTAAATGTTAGATTAACGGTCAGACACAAACCTTGTATCCACATCAGTAACCACAGGATGTCCTACAGGAAAAAGCAATAGAAATACCACATTTAAAATCCAGGTTGAAGGATACATTATGATTCAATGATAATGTTCTTTGTCTATGGCCATTTGTTCATATTCACTCTATGATCTAATCTCAAAAGCAGAGGGAGTAAACTGTACAACTAAGCAATAATTATTACAATTGCATATTTCCAACATTCCTATTTCTGACATTGTTGTAGAGTGAATTAAGATACAGTAACTATGTCATTTGTGACTTTGACTCAGTTTCTCTGATTTTAAGACTCAGTTCTTCTTTATCAATGTTGAAATAATTGGCAGTCAGGAGGGGGTAGGTGTATTACAGCTGCAGTTCAGCTGTAGTCAAATCAAAACTGCATTCCATTTGCTCAGAAAATGACATAATGGAATAGAATCTTCACCCCCTCATATAGGTTGTAAAAACAGACCCTTTACCTATATCTTAGTTTTACGACTGAACTGGCCTACTTACACACCTAGCCATGACCATAGCCATCACGTCATATCCCTAATGTTTTTGAGGGGGCACTGATAAGTTATAAAATAAGCTATATCTTGTACATTTGTATCCTACAAATTGATTAAATTGATGGGGCATGTACCTCCTCGGTTTCAATGGTTATAATGCCTCTGCTGAGGACAATGCTATACAGTACATTGTCATCCACAGGTAATTTAGTCTTTGTTTCACACAGTACTGGCCAATTATTGATTAGTTTTAACTTACCACGGTGCAGACACACAGCGACAGTGACAGCCACTATAATGGTGAGGAGAGCAGCTGCAGATGCCCAATACAGCAGGATTGTGCACATGCCATTAGAATCTATGGTTTGGGTCATAAATACATGTAAGAAAGAAGAAATACACAATGTACATGGTAAATGAGAAGTTGATAAGAGAACAACATTTTAATCGGAAAAGGAAAATCATCACAAACTCTGTCACATTGGAAAAATATATAATGAAGTATAAGTGATAACGGCTATTATTGAAATATAAATGATTATGGTGGGTACACACTCCCACACATTACGATGTAATATAAAAATATATATGTTTTACAGTGTATGTGTATTGCCCTTATGTGAAACTATAATTGAGCCTTTCCTGTAGTATAATATGCTCATCCTAACCATCCTCAGACTGCGTCATATCTTGGTAAGAAATCTTAATGGACTACTTTTGATTCAAAATGCATCTGATTTAGGTAGCCTTGACATTGGCTGATGGGGCTTTTTGCAGAGGAGACTGTTGAAATTAACATAGAAAGTGAGTATTTGAGATACACTGATGCAATTACCATTGTTCTTTATCAGGGTTTTGTTGATATAATTTCCCTCAAACTCCACCACACATGTACACTGCACACCTCTGTCCCACTCCTCTGCCTGGACCAGAATCTGGTTCATAGTGAACTCTGTGGCTGAATCACTGTTGTCTGTCCAAGTGGACGCAGTAAGTCCACTGTCCTGTCTCCCGTCTATGAGCCAGAACACATGGACCTGAGACGGGACCACTTTCAACACCAAACACAGCAGAGGGATGAAGGACTCTGCTGTGTAGTATAAAGTCGTCAACACAACAGACCCGTCACCGTCCATTGGAGAGAGGAGTTTGATGGTTGGGGATTCAGTGATGTTCTGTGTTCTCTCGCTCTCTGGGGACAAGATTGTCAGAATTGAAACAATTAAATGACTTGTTGAAATGATCTACAGGCTGTTCAACATAGCCTATACTCTGAATGCACTATTCTTCATTTTAGACCATACAGGCAACCTCATTCAATATGTTCAAAGGGTTACAGAAATTCTATGCTATATTTACAATTGGCTATTTAGATTTTTCAAGCACAAGATGAATTTTTGTATGTGTATTATTATTTTTTAGCACATCTGTGTATTTTTTTATCAGTCAACTTTGTGAATGAAAATACCACACATTTAATTTACCTCTCACAATAACTCTAGAACCATTGCCCGTGTGCACCATTTCGGATTGAGCAGCTGAACAATAGTACATGCCCGAGTCGCTCACTGTTGCTTTGGTGATTGTAGCAGAACATAGTTTGTCATGTTTCACTTCTCCCTTCTTAGAGTTGTTATCAGTCTTTAGGTTTGTACTCAGTGTTCCAGTCCTGGGGTCTACTTTCATCCAAGTCACAGAGTGGCAGTAGGTGATAAGCTCAATCAAATTGCATTTCAAGATCACTGTATCACCAGCCTTCACCATCACCCTCCCAGGCGTCTGGATGATAATGTCTGTGTGTGTAGCTAAAAACAGAAATAGGAATAACAAGAATATAACATACATTTCAACTAATTCCTGTTAGCATGTTTGGTGCATTTTCATAACTTTGTTTTTCTGAACATGAACATACCAAGCATGGATGCCAAACAGAGAAAAAAAGCTTACTCTGTCCACTTATAAAAATATTTTGAAACTTTTATAGGCCTGTAATGTTGTCTAACCTAAGATGTGAATTATCTTTCAATTGCTTGATTATAAAATGAACTAGCCTACATTATAGCCAGTATACATTACATGTACAATTTGACAGATCGTTTATTCTCACACAAGTTTATGAAACATTTATAATTTACTAGAATACTGTGGTTAAAGGCTTATTTCTTGAAATAAATGAATGTATGCATAGTGATGATGAGACATAGGCTAAACCTCTTACTACCATCATTAGTTATCCTACATAAATGTACCTTTCCTACATTTATTCTCGACACATTGTCAACGTGTGCAGAATAGCGTGTCATACTTGCCTTTCAAAACATAGCTCCAGCACAGCAGAAGTATCAGGGCGCATGGCATTTTAGATTCACGGAATTTGAAGGGCATCATCTCTTTGCGTCCGTTGAGCCACCTTGACGAGATGAAGGTGTCTCGCACATAGCCCTGCTACGTCTCAGAAAGCGAGACCGACAACATCTCACCGGAAATGAACATATAAAGTGTCCTGCGTTTTAACTCAAACTGTGAGCAAGAAAAGATAGGTCATATTCCAGCAAAAGCCTCTACAACAAAAAACTGCAATGTTGAGAAGATTGCACCGCCTGAATGCAACTAACTAGGCGAAGATAAATGTAAGAATGTACTCACTAAAGATCTGCCAATCTTCGATAATTACCAGCTAGGCTATATTGAGATGAATTAATAAACATGATGACATCAAGGATTCGTTTTTTTATTTTTATCATTTCACGTCCGTGACCTATCTATAACCCCAGTTTGTACTAAAAGTCATACAAATACATAATTTTGAACATAAAAAGAACGTAAGAAGAATGTAACTTACTCTGTAATAGCCTATTTGGCTATTGGCCTAGTTCTCTGTAAAGTAGTAGGCCACTGAACTTTTCAGAATTTTACATTTTAGTCATTTAGCAGACGCTCTTATCCAGAGCGACTTACAGTTAGTGAGTGCATACATTTTCATACTGGCCCCCCTTGGGAAACGAACCCACAACCCTGGCGTTGCAAGCGCCATGCTCTACCAACTGAGCTACAGGGGATTATTTTTATTTGAAATTGGCTTAATTCAATATTATTATTAGGCTACGTAAGCTTGTTTATTATTATCCTTTTTTTATTTATCTTGACGGTAATCATTGTTCGCCTATTAAACAATACATCACTAAAAACGTTAGGCCTGTATGTCTATAGAGATATGACTAACGTTATTATTATTATTATTATTATTATTATAACTGTTAAGATTGCCTAATTATCTGAACATAATATAATTCACAACATCTGTTGTGATTCTGCCAAGTGATGAAAAATGTATGCACTCACTAACTGTAAGTCGCTCTGGATAAGAGCGTCTGCTAAATGACTCAAATGTAAATAATGTGTGCCTTATCTCTATTTATGGCGCTGGATTCTACTAATGATGGATTCCAAGCCAGTTTATATGTTGGCATAAACTTGCATTACAGGCTGTTTTATTTCCAGAAGGGAAAGTAGAACAAGTGGTTAAGAGAAACATTAGATAGGCCTACATTCAAATACAGACAGTTCAGTGTTACATACAAAACAACAACTGTAATGTTTAATTTGATCACTAAATAGGCTAGTTCATATTAAATGGGGGGGGAAACAAACATTGTAGAGCATACAGATTGAATGGCCAGAGTGACAATATATTCAGCCGTGGTTTTATGTTCGTAAACTCCTGCCATATATTCTAACGTTGCTCGCCTTGATCTAACCACAAAGGGCGCAAGCGATGTTGCAACCGAGCGAGGAAGAATTACTTGAGGCGGCGCCTACACAAACTACCTGTTTACCATTGGGGTTTCTAGACCACTAAGCTCATGGAAACTCTGAGATAGGGTGCATGCCAATGCTGACATTGCTGAACAAGACAGTGTGAACATATTTCCGGAAATCGACAAAGGGTTTTGATGAAATGTCAATAAATGTTTTGGGCTAAAACATAAGAGAGATGAATGGAAATGGGTAAAGGAAGCATTTTGTCTTTATGGTAAAGGCGGCATGGTGATGGAGTTAAATTCGTTGATGCTGCAGTCATGCATAAAAATCCACTTTTCTGTCTTGGTGAAAAATGTCAGCATTTCCATCACAATTATGAGTTAGAGGCTTTCAAGAGGTAATATGTTGCATGAAGTCTTTGATGCAGTGTTTGACTGAATCTGATGCTGAACTGTGAACTCCAATTTGTTCCCATAACATTCACAGAGATGCTTCTTGTTGTTAGTCATTTGATTTAAATAAAAACATATGAACTTACAATGATTGGGGTGAACTTGTAGATACAGTGCCCTCAGTAATTACTGGGACAGTAAAGTATTTTTTATTTTTTATTTTGGCTCTAGTTCAAAAGTTTGGATTTGAAATCAAACAATGACTATGAGGTTAAAGTGCAGACTGTCAGCTTTACTCTGAGGCTATTTTCATCCATATTGGGTGAACCATTTAGAAATTACAGCACTTTTTGAACATAGTCCACCCATTTTAGGGGAGCAAAAGTATTGGGACAAATTCACTTATATTTGTATTAAAATAGTAAAAAGTTAAGTATTTGCCCCATATTCATAGCACACAATGACTACATCGAACTTGTGACTCTACAAATCGTGAATAATGATGAGTGAGAAAGTTACAGATGAGCAAATATCACCCCCCCAAAAAAAATGCTAACCTCGCCTGGCAACCTGGTCTCAAAGCATTTCATATTATTATGGTACGTATTAATTTGTGGATGTCCATCACCCATTTTGTATGATATGTTACGAATTACAATTCCTATTATATGTTATGAATGTGCAAAACGAACAATATGTTACAAATTTGCAAAATGTACAATATGTTACGATTTTGCAAAACCTATGATATGCTACGAATTTGCAAAATGTATGATATGTTACGAATTCTAACTAAGTGGCTAACGTTAGCTAGCTCGCTAATGTTAGCTGGGTTAGGAGTTAGGTTATAGGGTTAAGGTTAGGGTTAGCTAAAAGGGTTAAGGTTAGGGTTAGGAAAAGGGTTAGCTAATTTATTTTTATTTTTATTTTTATTTAACCTTTATTTAACCAGGTAAGCCAGTTGAGAACAAGTTCTCATTTACAACTGCGACCTGGCCAAGATAAAGCAAAGCAGTGCGATAAAAACAACACAGAGTTACATATGGGGTAAAAAAAAACATAAAGTCAAAAATACAACAGAAAATATATATACAGTGTGTGCAAATGTAGCAAGTTATGGAGGTAAGGCAATAAATAGGCTATAGTGCAAAATAATTACAATAGTATTAACACTGGAATGCTAGATGTGCAAGAGATTATGTGCAAATAGAGATACTGGGGTGCAAAAGAGCAAAATAAATAACAATATAGGGATGAGGTAGTTGGGTGGGCTAATTTCAGATGGGCTGTGTACAGGTGCAGTGATCGGTAAGGTGCTCTGACAACTGATGCTTAAAGTTAGTGAGGGAGATAAGAGTCTCCAGCTTCAGAGATTTTTGCAATTCGTTCCAGTCATTGGCAGCAGAGAACTGGAAGGAATGGCGGCCAAAGGAGGTGTTGGCTTTGGGAATGACCAGTGAGATATACCTGCTGGAGCGCAGACTACGGGTGGGTGCTGCTATGGTGACCAATGAGCTAAGATAAGGCGGGGATTTGCCTAGCAGTGATTTATAGATGGCCTGGAGCCAGTGGGTTTGACGACGAACATGTAGTGAGGACCAGCCAACAAGAGCGTACAGGTCACAGTGGTGGATAGTGTATGGGGCTTTGGAGACAAAACGGATGGCACTGTGATAGACTACATCCAATTTGCTGAGTAGAGTGTTGGAGGCTATTTTGTAAATGACATCGCCGAAGTCAAGGATCGGTAGGATAGTCAGTTTTACGAGGGCATGTTTGGCAGCATGAGTGAAGGAGGCTTTGTTGCGAAATAGGAAGCCGATTCTAGATTTAACTTTGGATTGGAGATTATTTATGTGAGTCTGGAAGGAGAGTTTACAGTCTAACCAGACACCTAGGTATTTGTAGTTGTCCACATACTCTAGGTCAGACCCGTCGAGAGTGGTGATTCTAGTCGGGTGGGCGGGTGCCAGCAGCGTTCGATTGAAAAGCATGCATTTAGTTTTACTAGTGTTTAAGAGCAGTTGGAGGCTACTGAAGGAGTGTTGTATGGCATTGAAGCTCGTTTGGAGGTTTGTTAACACAGTGTCCAATGAAGGGCCAGATGTATACAAAATGGTGTCGTCTGCGTAGAGGTGGATCTGAGAGTCACCAGCAGCAAGAGCGACATCATTGATATACACGGAGAAAAGTGTCGGCCCAAGAATTGAACCCTGTGGCACCCCCATAGAGACTGCCATAGGTCCAGACAACAGGCCCTCCGATTTGACACACTGAACTCTATCTGAGAAGTAGTTGGTGAACCAGGCGAGGCAGTCATTTGAGAAACCAAGGCTATTTAGTCTGCCAATAAGAATGCGGTGGTTGACAGAGTCGAAAGCCTTGGCCAGGTCGATGAAGACGGCTGCACAGTACTGTCTATTATCAATCGCGGTTATAATATCGTTTAGGACCTTGAGCGTGGCTGAAGTGCACCCATGACCAGCTCGGAAACCGGATTGCATAGCGGAGAAGGTACGGTGGTATTCGAAATGGTCGGTGATCTGTTTGTTAACTTGGCTTTCAAATACTTTCGAAAGGCAGGGCAGGATGGATATAGGTCTGTAGCAGTTTGGATCTAGAGTGTCACCCCCTTTGAAGAGGGGGATGACCGCGGCAGCTTTCCAATCTCTGGGGATCTCAGACGTTATGAAAGAGAGGTTGAACAGACTAGTAATAGGGGTTGCGACAATTTCGGCGGCTAGTTTTAGAAAGAAAGGGTCCAGATTGTCTAGCCCAGCTGATTTGTAGGGGTCCAGATTTTGCAGCTCTTTCAAAACGTCAGCTGTCTGAATTTGTGTGAAGGAGAAGCAGGGGGGGGCATGGGCAAGTTGCAGCGGAGGGTGCAGAGTTGGTGGCCGGGGTAGTGGTAGCCAGATGGAAAGCATGGCCAGCTGTAGCAAAATGCTTGTTGAAATTCTCGATTATTGTAGATTTATCGGTGGTGATAGTGTTTCCTAGCCTCAGTGCAGTGGGCAACTGGGAGGAAGTGCTCTTATTCTCCATGGACTTTACAGTGTCCCAAAACTTTTTGGAGTTAGTGCTACAGGATGCAAATTTCTGTTTGAAAAAGTTAGCCTTTGCTTTCCTGACTGCTTGTGTATATTGGTTCCTAACTTCCCTGAAAAGTTGCATATCGCGGGGGCTATTTGATGCTAATGCAGTACGCCACAGGATGTTTTTGTGCTGGTCAAGGGCAGTCAAGTCTGAGGAGAACCAGGGGCTATATCGGTTCTTAGTTCTGTATTT